TTATTTCTATTACTGTATGTCCCATGTTGCTTTTTCCTTAACATCTCTCTCTTTCTTTCTCTCCTCCTACCTTACTGAATTCTTGTGAAGAGGAAGCAGAGATGAGAAGAGTCACACATACCACCTTAAGCTTCTTATAGGAAATATGGGAAGTAAAATACTATAAAAAAGAAAATTCAGTGCTCAATATCTTGATATATTTTACTCCTTAAGTTTTAGTTATATTGTAGGATTGAGCTCAGACAAAGGCTGATTTACAAACTGAAATAATGAGAAAGTGTTCAAAAGTACCAAATTCACCCACCAAATTACATTCCCAGTGCCAGATGGAAGACCCTTTGGAAATGGAAGCAAAGGGCATAACTGATGCTGCCCAGTGGTAGAGGTTGATATTTTATGAAGTCACATTTATCAATGAGCAATGATGACCAGCCGATTGTATTATAGGTCACATTGTATGCCATAGCTCGTTCTTCCTGGTTCATACTGTGGGAATTGGAGCTCATCTGTTGGGTAAGATCATATGGTGGAGAGGTTTAGCAACATGAGTTGCCCAAAAGGCTGATTGGTTCATGCAGAAGCCAAGGTCCATGAAAAACAGGAAATTCCCTAACTTTCAGGTCAATAGGGCAGTGCATCCAGATTTGAACTTTTAAAAGTGATCCAAGATGTCGAACCTATTTGGAGGGGGGATAAAGTTTAGCACATTGGAGGGTTAGACTAAAATCTTGGGCAAATTCACTACTGTATTGTCATGGAAGCCACGACTGGGAAACAGTGGCTGTTGGGCTTGGCACGGGAGAAAGAACACTGTTTTTATGTGTGTGTGTGTGTAAAACCTGATGTAATATATTTTAGGATTTTTTAAAGTTCAATGTGACTTTGCTGTTATAATATGTAGACACTTCATCATTGCAACTGCAGCAGCATTTTAAATAATAGTGTCATCTTCTCCCTAGGCCCACTGCAATTAGGATGAATACACAACAAATGTCTTCATTAAGCCAGATCTTTTCACAATGGGGATTTAAAAAAAAAAAAAAAGCAGTCAGACTGCTGTGATTCTGGGCATGTTCAGTCCTTTGTTTTTTTTCTCTCTCCATTTTTCTATATTTGGAGAAGAGTCAATTAGTACTTTTATATTTATAATAGAGAGAAAGAGAAACGTGCTCATGGAGATATAATCAGCCCTTTTCCTTGGGCTTCCCATCTGGATCTCCAATATAGTTTTTGATCCCAAAGACCCTTGCCTGTATTATTATCTACCTTAACTACTTTCTGCAGAGATGATAAGCTGACATAGCTTTTGAAAAGGCCCATTAACATGTTGCTCTTCATATGAACAGCAACAAAGGGAAAGATCACATGCCATGCAAATAGACTGCATGCCATACAAACATGACCACTAATTGATATTCTAGGAATATAAATCTTTGCAAATATAGTTCTCACAGGTAATAACAAATATTTTTACCATTTTTCTCCTCATTATGAAAAAAAAAAGATTTTGAAAACTCTGCAGTTTTTCAAAATTATTCACAGTTCAGGACTGATTCTTTGCAAAAAAATACATTTTTGCACAAAAATGGAATATTTTGTGGACATTCTCTTTTTGGAAAAGAAACAACATATCTCTAAAGACAATATTATTCCTACACAGAAAACTGAAATGTACAAAATGTTGTACTCTGAGTGAAAATCTGTTCTCTGTGAAGAAACCTTTTTTGGTGCAGAAAACGCTGTTTTCTGTGCAAGGAATTTGTTTTATGTACATAAAATGCCATCTTCTTAATAAAAAAAATATAAAAACCCATGTAGAATATGTTCCTAACTACAAAGATTATTACCTATCTAGGATTTTCCTTGTCACGGTTTCACAGGACTCTAATAATCCATTTTGACCTTTTCCCCCCAAAAAATTGTTGTTGTTAACTGCTCTCGAGTCAATCTCGACTCATGGCGACCCTATGGATGAGACATTTCCA